ACCTACGCTCAGACCGGACTCCAGTCTTCTTCACTTTGTCTTTACACCGCACACAGGTTGGTAAGGGAAGAGACAGAAAGATAGATGCAACGCGAGTCTACTATCATTTACAATTAATTCACGTGTGAGTCACCATCCATGCACGATCTCGCTGATGGGCAGATGGTGGGCATCGTCAGAATCGATGTTCGAACTGTCGTCTGAAGTCGCAATTGACAGAACATACGAGGGAGTAATTTGTGCTTAGCAGCTCTTTGTTCAGTCAGCCGCAACTCTGATTTATATGTGCCAGACCTCTGAACCAAATACTCTCCTGTGTAACGTTTTTGTTTTACACTTTTTTACGTAGTTTTCATCAGAGTGCGGTTGAATATGATCATAAACTGTACAGCCTTCTCCCCTATCTCACACCTTCCTTGCATCCAGATACCCGAATCTACACTGTAAACTCATTCGCGGCTATACAAAGGGCGCTGGCTTCTCACCGAACATGCAGTTCCCCAATTCTGATCTTAAACACAGCTGGAATGCCGTGCTTGTCGACGGCACGTGGCGCCTCGTTGACTGCAATTGGGCGGCCCATGCCGAATTCGGTAAAGGTGCCAAAGTGGGAAAAGTAACATATAAGCTGGACACCTTCTACTTCCTCACTGACCCAATTCAGCTTATATATACGCACTTTCCGCATGAAACTGACTGGCAACTGCTGCACCAGCCAATCACTTCAAAGGTAAGCACTCAGTCATCGCTCTTCTCCACTGGACAACCCAAATGCATTATAATTGTGACTGGAATTGCAAATATAACGAAAGATTTTACCAAATCTTAGAAAGGCAAACCTTCTGGCAATGATAGTTAATGACAAATTAAACATATTCGAGCACTATGCTCATCTGTAGATTCCAGCGCTAGCTTACTGGCACGATGTCACGTATGATTTGTTTATGACCTTCTCTCATAGTTGATTAAATACAACGTCAACGATGTCTTGTGTTTGGAACATCGGAAAGACTCATGAAGTTATCGGTTTAAGTTAATCAATGGACTTTTACTATGGGCGCATACTATTCTTCAACGGCATAATATTGTATTGATCAATATTTGTTGTCGTAAACCGGTCAAAAGAAACTTCAGATAGATCTTTATATAGAAGAAAAGGAGGAGGATTAGGAGGAGAAGAAGGCCATATCCTCGAGGAGGAGGGTAAGTACCTCGGATGTCAACCCTCTACGGAATATGTATATAACGTCTTGCACTGAAGGACTGAATTTCTAAAAACTATCTCAAGGTAAACAGAAATAATTTTACCGTACTCCAACTCCCACTTTCATGTTCGACGATGTTGGTTGGAGGTATGGGAGTCATATGAAGGCATGAATTATGTCAAAACTGCTGTCTTTTCACTATGCGTCTATTTTTCATTTCACATATGTTACTGGTTATTTAGCTGCCTCGCAGCCTGTCAGAGTCCAAACTAATAGTGGTCCCTGCTGCCAGACGCAAACGACGCGCGCCCGAACGCACGCACCATGTCTTCCCCATTCTGGCATCAAACCACAGTGGCTTGACCTCAATCCGTCCAATGAGATTCCCGCTTTAGCAGACTGACCTCATTTAGTAGGTTGGCTTCAATCCGTGGGACACGGACGACAATGCGGTGTCTGCCTCCAGGCCTCACTTTGGACCCGATCCGACTAGGGAACCGATGCAATAGTCTGCGATTCAAAATTCCTCCTTACTCTTGTGTACACAATGCATCGGGCTTCGCACCGTCTTCTCTCCTCTCCTAAGGAACCGGGCCTTGAAGATCTCAGCCGTTAGGTTTGAATCTCATTAGCTTTAACACTCCTCGATACTTTCACTCAATGACGGATTTGAATCTCGGATGATCCTTCATCCGGGATTTGGTAGTAAGCCGGCAACGGTCACTCCGGCATCCCTTTTCTTCGTCGGTTCCACCTTCTCATCAGATCGTGGTCTCTAAGCAAGTTCTATTGTCGGGTGCAGGGTTGATATGCAACGCATCTTGACGCAGATAACTGATGATCTATCCTAATATTAATCTTTTCCGAATTCATGGTAGCCTCGGCGCATGCTACGGGTAAAGCTAGTCTATTCATTTCCCCTCATGTGGTTCTTTACCCATTCGCGCAACTAAGTAAGACGTTAACTGCTTTACCGGACAGACGAGGGAACTTATTTACTTAATTGGTCTCAAAATTCTCAAAAACAAACAAGTGTATTTCTCAGTAACGATATGTCCTGTAATTTTGCCAAGAAATTAGGACAAAAGCTGTACTCAGTCGTGAGCATAAAACTGGAGACAGTGAATGTATTTAGCTTCGGACAAATGTTCCAAATGATTATTCTATAAAAACCTTTGAATTCCTTTATTCTGTGTTTTAAATTGCTTATTCTCAGCAGGAAGGAATGCTTTACTCATAACCATGAAAACTGGGTATCCAAATTAGTCGTTATATCTCCAAATAAATGTCGTAGAGACACCTTAACGTGCACTTAACCAATAATACACGACGCAGTTATTGAATAGGTAAGCAAACGCAATGAAAAAAATTGGATTGCTCGAATATGTGACATATTTTAATAAGGGCGCCTTTGTCGGGGTTTCCATAGCTTCTATCCGAGAAGTATCCTTTTCGATGTTTTGGAAA